CTCTCTCTCTCTCTCTCTTTCTGCGAAGGGCTTAACTTTACTTACCCTGCTTTTTCCTTCCTCCCCCCATTTCCCGGCCGGCCTCGTTCCAGGCAGAGGGATTTGTGATGAGATGCCTGCAAACCGCACAGTCCCTGCCCGAACGCCAGCCGGACGAGTCGCTCTACCACCTGGTCAAGCTGCTCCAATCCAAAGAGGAGCAGGCCCCCTCCAGGTAAACCACCTTGGGGGAGAGAGAGTCCGCCTTCCGTCCTTCTCGTGGGATGGAGGAAGCCGGGAAGTCCTCTGCACAACGAGGTCCAGGCCACAACCGGCCCGCCCCCTGCTCCCCCACAGGCACACGGGGTCCTCGGCTTGTGGCAGTTCGTTTAGTGACCATCCCAAGTCACAAGGGCACTGAAAACAGCCCTGTGGTCACGTGATTGGGCGCCTGGCAGCTGACTTGCGTTTATGACGGTGGCGGCGTCCCGGGACCGATGTCAATGGGGGGGGAGCCAGATTGACTTAACCGCCGTGTCCCTAACTTTTAACAGCTGCAAAGGTTCGCTTAACAAAAGCGGCCAGAAAAGTCGCAGAATGGGACAAGACTCGCTTAGCAGACGTTTCATAAGGTTTGGGCTCAACTGGGGTCGTAGGCCGAGGACCACCTGTGTGTCCCAAGGGGTGGCCAGAAGGCCAGCGTCTTGGTTCACGCATCCTGCAGGACCCCCGGTCTGTTTAGCGACCATTTTCTCGAAGGAGGACTACTGGCCGTAGTTGCCCAAGCACCGTAAATCAGTGTTTCTCAACCTTGGCAACTTGAAGATGTCTGGACTTCAATTCCCAGAATTCCCCAGCCAGCGAATGCTGGCTGGGGAATTCTGGGAGTTGAAGTCCGGACAGCTTCAAGTTGCCAAGGTTGAGAAACACTGCCGTAAATCATAAACCCCTCGGGTCTCTTGGTCTGAAGCCTGCGAGGGAATTAATAATTTTTATTTATTTCTCTATCTCTCTATCTTTGTTTCTTTCATCTCTCTCTCTCTCTCTCTCCTTGATTCCTTGGCCGTAGACTCTGAGGGTCCTTTGAGTAAAACTGGAAACAAAGCCCTCCGAAGGAGAACCGAAGCCGCCTCCTCGGGAAGAGGAGAATAAGAGGGGGACACGGGAGCCGTTTCTGGAGACGCCCCCCCCTTAAAGACAATCATTTGCTATTATCCCAGGAGCGGGACTTCCATTTACTTTGGCTTGAGGCCAGGATGGCAGTTCCTCCCAGAGAGAGCAGTTGAAGGCACGCCTGGACCCATCTCCCAGGCCCTACCACACCACACGCCATCCAGACTCCCTTTAATGGGCTATTCAGCCCCAGGGGGAATGTCTGTTTCTTCTAATTGTTCCTCAAATCCACCCTCTTATTGTCCCTGTCCTTTCAAACTAACCCAGATGAATGTTGTGCCTCTGGCGTTTCTCAGATGGTTTGATGCAGCTGGTGGTGTGTGTGTGTGTGCGCCCGTGCGGGTGGAGGCTTTCTGGTCCTGTTGATTAGGGGAAGCGGGCTCTTTCAGGGGTCTCTGTGCTGGGTCTCGGGGGTCTTTTTTCCCATCTCTGGAAGAGGGGGGGAGGCTAAGACCACCCAGCCGAGAAGTTTGAAGAAGCAGTTCTCCCCTGACCCCCATCCTGTTGCTTAAAAAGAAATTTAGAAAACCAGCAACCTCTAAAAGACTCAGGAGGGGAAAGTCACCACCAGGAGATCTCTCCTTCCCCCCAATGGGCCTTGCAGACATTGGCGGTTTTCTAAATTTCCTGTTACGCAGCAGGAAAACCGCTCTTCTCTCTCTCTTCTGGGGGCTTAACTGCTCCGTTTGTGGGGTTCTTGGGGACTTCACCTCCCCCCCAAACATCCTGAATTGGGCTGCAGCAATCACTTCCCAGGATCCCCGCCTGGGGCTGCTGCCCCCCCCCCCGGGGAATTCTGGGAGTTGAAGTCTGCCTCTGCCAGGTGCCCAGACTCAGATTTTACAAGGCAAGCAGGGAATTTTTTTTACAAATTCTCCCCCCACCCCCACCCCCAACTGACACAACATCACAGGACACACAATCCCAGGTTTTATTGTATTGGTTTGATCCATACGAACGTGTCCTCCTCTGGTTTTCCTTCTCTCCCTTCCTGTTGGAACTTCAGAAAGGAGCCCCCCCCCCTTACACACACACACAGTAACACAGCAAAACACAAGAGTTAACCTTAAAAAAAATAGCCTAGAAATGTAATTCTTTTATTCAAGTGCGGTTGTGTGTATGCCTTCGGTTTACAAACAGACAAATAAATAAAATATACATATATTATTAAATAGGAGCCTTTAATTGTCTTGCTTCGGGATTTTCTTTCTGCAAACCTGTCGAGGACTAGCAAACACAAAACAGGAAAGGCATTTCTTTTCTTTTTTTAAACCAGGTCGGCCAACTAGACTAAAGAGAAACCTAACATATCATCAGTGCAACGGGTTCTGCTACTACAGTGCAGGTGGGATACTCTATATATATATATAAAAAAATAAGTTTATCGCAGTCAAATGCAGCTTTTAGCGATGGCTGGAGAAACTAGAACTATTCAAGAATACAGTATTTGCAGGGAACAATGCTTGTAACTTAGTGCACTGTCCACATGAAACAGGAACCCAAAAAAAATATACATACATAATAATATAAATATTTTCCAGTCTAGGAAAGCTAGGAAAATGGGTGCAGCTACTCTCATTTTTTTTGGGGGGGGGAGAAGGGGGTGTTGAGCAAGTCCAGTTGCCGAAGACACAATAGAACTGCGTCTTCCGGACCTCTTTTGCAAGGGGTTGGGGGTGCAAGGAGGTTAATGGGGAGCCGGAAAAGGGTATTGGGCAGGGTGGGGGCTGTTTGTGTGTGTCATTCTTCCCCCGGGGTACGACTTCGGGAGTTGTTTGTTAGCTTTTGGAGGTGGGGGGGAATTACGTCAATTTCCTGGGCAGAGAGAAGGTTGGGGCCGTCTTCGGCCAAGCTGGGGAAACGTTCTTGTTTTGAACCCAGGACCACACGCCCTGCACCCGGCCGATTCTGAAGTCAGACCAACCTCACCCTGGACAGGAATCCGAGGGAAAGTATTTCTGAAAAAGGAAGAATTTATCTCTCTCTCTGCCAACTCACGAAGCTTTCCAGACATCCCCCCACCCTCTCTCTCCCTCCCCATCCAGGGAAGGGCAAGCACCTACAGCAAGGGCGGCCCAGGTGTGGGGGGTCCCTCAGGGTGTCCTTCATTCCCTCTCATCGCTCACCCCAAAAGTTAACAGCCTGCAGTTGTCGCCCCCCCAAACCGTTAAGCCCAGCCCCCCTCTGCCAAAGGTGCCTCGGGGTGGATCCCCTTCCCGAACCGTCTCAGTTCTTTCATCCCCTCCCCTTGGACCACCGAGCCCACCATCCCCCGGGCTCTGGAGGATGACCAGGAGGGCCCCTGGGGCAGAAGGGAGGGGTAACCCAGAACTTTTCTTCCTGCCGATCTTCTGTTGACTTTTGGTAAATAAAAGCTGGGCAGAAGAACGAAGGGCTTCAATCTTGGTTTTTTTTGGGTGTGTGTGTGTGTGCAAATTTCTAACTCCCCCCCCATCTGTAAAAAAAAAAAACCTCCACACCGTCCCTCTGAGAATGATTGCCACTCCTCAAAGGGCACCCCTCCCTCAGCTCAGTTCTTCTCCCCAACTTTTCAACCCCCCCTGTCTGACCCTCCCAATCCCCCCCCCCGAGTTCCTTCCCAAAGTTCCGCTCTTCAGTTTCTCTCTCCCCCCCGGTCTTGTATTTAACCGGCATTTAACGGTATTCAGTGTTTTGTCTCTGGCAATGCAAGGGGTTGCTTTTTGGGGAGGGGGCGGCGAAGGGGAGATGCTTTTTCTCCTTTATAAAACAAAGAGGAAAAAAGAACAGAGCAAGTGGGGGTGGGGTGGGGGCAGAAGTGCTATCATCTCAAGAGGAATTGTTGCTTCTGAAGGCTTTTGACCACGTTGAAATCCTGGACTGGAGACCAGCCGCTAAAAGTTCTTCCTAAGGAGCTACGAGACGGGTCCTTCGCCCAGAGACCCAGGCCCAAGTGGGGCTGGAATCCCTCAGGCCCAGATGCTTTTTCTTCGCCCGGGGCCTGGCGGCTGCAACAAACATGTGGAGAAGACGGGCAGGAGGGCAAGAGTGGCGCGGAGGAGATGCCTGCCCACCTCCCGAACTTTAGACCTGGGAGTCGGCTCCCAAGCTGTGGAACTCATCCGGGTTCTTGTCTCCGTGGGCGGCACCCCCTTGGCGGAACTCGGAGGCGATCTCGTCGAAGGTTCGGCCCCTGGTCTCGGGCACCTTGAAGTAGGTGAAGATGAAGAAGAGGACCAGCAGGATGGTGAAGATGATGAAGACGTAGGCTCCGCAGAGGTCCTGTGAGGGAAGGAGAGGAAGGGGCATCAGGGCTCTGCTCAGGGCGGAGTCGGAGGGAGGACAGCTAAGGATGACTCCATCCACCACCAGCACTAAGGCGGCTGGGTAGACAACCGTCTCCTGAATGGTGGTCGGACGTCTCCTTCAAGCGGGAAGTCCCAGGTCCCTTGGTCGCTCCCATTAAAAGTGGCCCCTTCTTTTCTGGAGAACCTTTTCGGGTGCCCACCCTCGAAACTCCGCTGGCTTCCACAAGATTGATCTCGAAAGAGGTGGAAACTTAATTTTTAGAACCTTCTAAATATCTGGGCAGGATGGAAATCTCTATTTTGATACTTGGGAAGGAAGCATGGAGAGACTCTCATGGCCACAAGTTGGCACTCAATGGGGAGTCTCACTTGGGGTGAAGAGGGTCAAGGCCCTCATTTCATCGTACCCCACCCTCATCCTTCTCTGATCAGTTACCCATCCCCAGCAGACCCTCCGGTTACTTCAGAAGAGGGCCCCGCACTAATTCTCCAAAGGGCCTGAAGGCAGGAGGGGAAGCAATGGATGGAAGCTAATCAAGGAGAGAAGCAACTAGAACTAAGGAGAAATTTCCCGAGCGTGAGAACAGTGAATCAGTGGAACAGAAGTTGTAGGTGTTTCATCACTGGAGGTTTTAAAGAGGAGATTGGACAACCATTTGTCTGAAAAGGCCTAGGGTCTCCTGCTTGAGCAGGGGGTTGGACTAGAAGCCCTCCAAGGTCCCTTCCCTTATTCTATTATTCTCCCAGATGTAAAAGCAGCCACTGAGTTCCTCAAGGGAATAGAGATGGTAGTTGGGCAGCTAGAGCGTCCGACTTCCAGACTACGCAGGAGGAGGAGATCTACCCAGCCAACCTTGGTTCCTCTA